CAAATGTAGCTTACTATATGAGTGTCTAAATGTATGCTCTATAAATTTCAAATTTCACAGGCTGGTTCAAAACCACATCTATAAAAAAAACACAGTACAAACAATAAATAACACAACAAACACAGGTGGAGTGGGACACTTAAGCTTATTTGTACTGTAGAGGGTTAATTGTGTAAACCATTCACAACAATTGGTATGGTGTTATTAGTGACTGTCTATTGGTAATGAAACAAAGGCTGTGATTGGTGTGCCATCAAAGAAGAGGTCCTGTAGTTATTTTTCAAATTGCTTGACTAAATCTATTTAAAATAATAAGGATGATCATGCAGTCACTTATGATGTAATAATAACATGTTTGCTTTTTAATGCATTTATACTGTCTGTGTAGAAATTTCAATAAGGATGTAACTGTATCAAATATTTATGAAAATTAGATTTACAGCCCTGTCCCACTCCTAACCTGACAGTGTTAGAGAAAGTGGGAAAGTTTTAGGGCTAATGCTAATGAGCACAGTGCAGCAGTTTCATGAAGAAAAAAATAATAATTTTAAAGTTAGTTAGTAAGACTAGTCTAAATATCACATTTTAGATTTGTGATTTCTTGAAATACTCTAGGTTCACAAAAATGGCACCCAAGCAAAGAGGAGAGGACAGGGGAGTGAGTGACAGAGGGACAGGGGCATACAGAGAAGGTAAGGACAACAATGTAGGAAAGGAAGTAAACTCGACCAGTGGAGGGAAGAGAGAATGGCAGTAGACGTTGAGGAATATCCGGTGACTGAAGGACAGCAAAGTATGAAAAATCCCATAGTTGACATTACAAAAGCGAGTGAAAGGCCTAGTGAGAGGCCACAGTAGGTAAAAGCCCTCAATAGCTCCAGAAGATTGAAAATGTACTTAGTCTAACATTAATAAACTGAAGACATTTTGCCTTTAGGCTACTCACAAACATGATTTTGTACTTGTTTTATTATGCATTGTTGAATATTTTTAACTAAATTATTTCCGTTTTAGTTACTGCACACATGAATTCATTAATACATGGTATATGTTGTTAAATGTTAATATAATATTAAAATGTCTAATAATATGTTGTTAAATGTTGTACAAAAAAAAAGAAAAGTAAAGTATAAAAAGTATTTCTCATGTGTCTAATGGTTCATTTAAACAGTAAATTCTATAGTGTCCCACTTTATCTAACAAAGTGTCCCACTCAACCTGATCGCTTCCAGTTTGCTGAAGAGGGTGTCATATAGTGTTTAAAGATAACCAATTTGCTAATGAATAAATAAATATTCTTAATTAAACCATAGATGTTTTCATTACAACCTATTTAAACAAAACACATACAATTTCAATACGTTCTAACTGATTTAGGTTGTTTAAAATGCAATTTACCACTTCACCCTATGATTCCAGTGTACAGCCATGTTTATGAATTGAGAGAAGTTATTGCATTTGGTATGAAAGACTTTTCAAGACTTAGTTGCTGCCCTGCATTCAGCCATGTGGGTGTCTAAATTCATGGTGTTAAATGGATACTCCATATAGCGCACTAAAACAATCCCACAATGGAATGAATCCCATTTACAGGTGCCAAAATTACAGTTTTGCAATACTACACCTGTCAGTGATGACGCAAAGTGATGCTGATTTATAGGTTTCTGAAATCTGTTTACTTTAGAGTGTGTGTCATACAGGGAGTGGTGCATCTTTGTCTGGCTCCTCCTGGCCAACTGTCTTCACACATGAACGACATTAGAACAATATGCTACAGCAGCTAGCTTTTAAACAGAGTAGTGCAGAGGTGGCACGGTGACAATTAGGGCTGCACAATATATCGTCGGAGCATCATCATCGCAATGTGCTCTTGCGCAATAGTCACATCGCAGAACAGTGCAATATCAAGCAAGTCAAATGAACTCAACCACTTCAACTTTAGCTGCTTCATGGAAAAGGAAAACTTGGACAGTTCTCATTTCAAGTTTGTCTGGTGTAACATCATTTATTCCGATTTAAGAGTTCTTGGATACACAGTTTGTAACTAGTGAGTGACAAGCAGGCTCTGCATGCACAGTGAACTAGGAATCCCAATATTATTCTCGAGTTGATCACTTCTTTTTGCTCAATTATTTTCAAATAGAGTAGAAGTAATCTGGTGAAACTTCCTGTATTTTGTCATATCGCAATATATATCGCAGAAAAGAAAAATTAGTTTAAAAAAGTTATATCCAATATCGTGCAGCCCTAGTGACAATATTCCTTTGATAAATTAACCTGAAGGACCACTTACTGATTTTATTCCCAAGAGCTTGCATCTCTCAGATGCAACTGAAAGTCCTGAAAAGTGCACTTTGGGACTATTTTGTCATCGCTTCAGCTCTGTTCTCTCAATCACTGGGTTTGTAATGAAACACAAAACTATGAGGCGAACACTGACTCAAGGTTGACAGTGTTCACATCAGCACTGAGAGTGTAGGAATTGTAGCCCTTTATTGCATGCACTTTGGACTGAAAATGAAGACGGGTTTGCAACCACATACTTAATATGATGGCATCACTGAAGTTTATTGTAATTTGTCCCACACATTTTGGTTTGTGTCAAAAGGGCTCATCCAACAGTATATAGGCTACATGGGCTTTGGCTGTAAACACTGTGAGATGGTGCTAACACATTAAAACTGCACAGCCCTCGTAGGTAAAATTTTGATATTTCAAGATTTCAGATTGATGTCCAAGGTCACTGGGTGTGCAAAATCATCAAGTATCTTTACTTCAACCTCATTATATTACTTGAATAATTACTGAAACTACTAGTCAACAGGTCCCAGGGTTAGAGTTTTTTATTTTATAAATTAATTGAATTGATTTGAAATAAACTAGATCTATAACATTCTATATGATTATACTTCTGGCTTCAGTGCCAAGGAAACTGTTCAGATGTAGTGTATTAGCCATTTTCGTTTAAAGGCCAGATTTTGTCCACAAGCTGATATTGGTGACAACAAATCTTTGATCTGAACAGATCGAAGCGATTCAAATCAGCAAACCGATGTATGATTTCCAGCTCTGATAGTCCTGCTCAGTCCGTGAGAACAGTTTCATGTCTTCTGTGACTCAGGAAGAGCTAAGTCAAGTCTGAGAAAATAATCCTGATGATGTCATAGGGCGTCATCAGGATTCTTTAAACAGAAAGCCTGTATTACATACGGGAGTATGTATAATGACAGATGCTATCCAATAGCATTATGGGAAGTGGAGGATAAAGTGTTTTTGGTGCTTAACCCTTACTGGGCACTAAAAGTCAGGGTACAGTCAGCCTTTGCTGCACACATTCTGACCACTAATATGTCTTTCGCAACTTTATGAAAGTGCATACATCAGTAATGCATAATAAAACCTGTTTGACAACAACCATCACATGACTTTAGCTGCAATGAGCTGTGGGCACAATATGTGGAAAATGATCATACAGCAAGGAAAGTTCTTTTTAAGCTGGAAATTGTAGTTTCAGGAGTTAAAACCATTTGATTTGGTCTCCAGTGTGTAATACGTGCATGTACCTGTTGGGTATCTTGTTGTATTCCTTGATGTCCGTCTTGCTATTTTGCTGAAGAATCGAATGATGTGTGGCTCCACAGTCTGTCTCCCACCAGGTAATCTCATCTGCTCAGACTCCACATACAAACCAGCTATTGCTGCAGAATTGGTCAAACCATATTGACATGCACAACAACTTTATACACACAGAAGTTTGCTCATGGAGACGGTCCATTGGCTCTTCTTAAAGCCACCTCAGTTTTGCCTGTCATGTTACAGCGTTACCGATGATCAGCAGTAAAACTAGACTTCTGCAGAATTAGTCATGGACAGGCGCAGCAGGGAAAGGAGTGGGTAAGATGGCTAATAAGGAGTAAAGAAGATTGGAGGGGATTAACGGTGACCTGGACACAGCCATGTGGTAACAGGCTGTATGCCTCCCGGCGGCAATCATGCAGCTCCTGGCACACAAGTTGATGTTGAGCAATGAGAACATCACAAGACAAGTATGATGGTGTCTGCTGTCAACTTCACGGTGGCTGTATGAAAAACACGGCAGTGAGGCCTACAATTTAGAGGCAGTTCAGTATGAGCAACTGCTTAATAAATGTGTGTGTGTGTGTGTGTGTGTGTGTGTGTGTGTGTGTGTGTGTGTGTGTGTGTGTGTGTGTGTGTGTGTGTGTGGACATTCATTCATGTGATCCAGACATTATCAAGGTAAGTTATCAACTTTTTAGTAGAAACCAACTCAACTCTAGACCACTTGCTCACTGCTGGATCTGGATCTGACACCACATACTGTACTTAGAAACTGCTTTCCATAGCCAAAGAAACCTGGCTGTTCTACAGGTGTCTCTTTTGGCACCTTAGATAACATTAGGAAATTCCTGAAGCAAAAATCTGCAGTCCATGTTTTTGAGTTTTGTATGAATTGAGTATACAATCTAATACAATGAAAAAGAAGTCCTGCCACATTCATAGAAAGGAAATGACCGTGAATTAGAAACTGGTTGTATGAGTACACCCGAGGTCAATGTCTGTCCATCTTCCTGTATCACATGCTTTATATTGTATTGCACTGGACTGTCCAAATGTAGATCGTAAAACCGTTTACTCAGTGTATGCTGTTCTGCAAGCTGGAGCAGTCTGCTGAATCTGTCATTTTAATATTGTGTCTCCTAGTGTCATTAAGCTACACACTCAGCCAAATGGTGGATGACAATAATTCACAGCCAAAACCGAAAGAAAGCATGTACATCTACATGTCTGAACAGTGAAGTAAACCTAAAGTGGAGACAAATGTTCACTGCTTGCAACTGGTGTAATGTTTAACTGAGGAACTGTGCAGTCATAAACCTTATTTTGTCATTTCCATTCTTATCTAACCAAATGTGGATTGAGATATGACCTGAAGCTCCTCTGCCTGGTGAATTCACAGTCATCTTCACTTCTGCTGCTCTGTAGAGAACCTCAAAGGCATAATGAAACCCTATGGGCTTTGTGTTATCATCGTTCAGCTGTCTTTGGCTGCAGGAATGGATGCTGGTAAGGTCATTACACTTACTTTTTAAGAAGGCACTAAAATGAGTTTTAGTTTTAAAATAGATGTGCTGTGGTTTTAATGTCTCTCCTTATGTCTGGCATGTTGGTGAAGCCTCAGCAACAGCTGACAACCCAAAAGTGATAAAGAATTAAGCTGTACTATTTAATCAATAAGACTGCAGTTACTTAACTTTTCAAAGCTGCTCCATTAGGCTATCCATTATTCAGTAAAAGAGTAAGAGTCCCATTTATAATGCTAAAATATCCATATTCAGTGTTAGAAAGTCCTGTGAGCTGTGGACATACCAGGTAAAACACTGGGCTGTGCATCAGTAGAGCAGCATTTTACACTAAATGCCTAAAAACCAGTGTGCTGAGCGTTGGACATTAAGTTTTTACTTATCAAGCATAACATTAGTTAAGTCAAGCATCGAAGCCTGCTCTGTTGTGTACTCTGGGGCGCCTTTGCTTCTAACCTTTGCCTCCACATGGATGGGCAGGGAGGTGCTCTCGTGGAAGAGCCATACCGCCAAACATAACTTCCTATTACTTTCTTCGATGAAAGTTGTCCTGACTGAAATCAAGGTTTTATCATTACAGATTGGACTGGTCAAAGGCATCCTTCAGGCTCTAATCTAGGAAACAGGTGAGCTGCCGCATGATGCATTAGAATGCTGCTTCTATGTCATAATGTGACATAAAATTCTTCCTAGTTTGCTTGAGTGAATTAACAGTGGAAGCAGGGATGGGCAAAGATACATCAAATCCACCCTACCCATCGTCAACCGCTTATCCTGCGTACAAGGTCGCGAGGGGCTGGAGCCAATCCCAGCTTACATCGGGCGAAAGGCAGGGTACACCCTGGACAAGTCACCAGTCCATTGCAGGGCCACACATAACAACCAGTCACACCTAAGGACAATTTAGAGTCACCAGTCAACCTAGGCCGCATGTCTTTGGAGGGTGGGAGGAAGCCAGAGCACCTGGAGAGAACCCTCGCGGAGAACATGAAAACTCCACACAGAAATTCCGGGGCAACCGTAGTTTGAACCCGCGACCTTCTTGCTGTGAGGCCACAGTGCTAACAACTGGACCACCGTGCCGTCCAGATACATCAAATATGAATGAATTTTAAATAATGCAATAACGAAATGCCCTAATTTTAAGTGTATCGAAATAAGCTACAAAATACAGCATCCACCCCTTGTGTCAAAGTAAACTGTATTGTACTGTATTTTTGTATTTCAAAAATACTGACAATACCTTGAACCGTGAAATCACTTTGGAAACCATTCTATCAATCATTGTATTTGCGCTATCCCTTGACCAGTACACTGACTCAGCTGATTAAGGGGACAGTGTTTGAGAGCAACACCTTTTCACTGCCTCAGCATGACTCATATTCACATATCCCTGCGATCACCCGTATGACGGTTAGTTTTAAAGTAACCAACAGTTTCATCTTTAACTAGCTAATAGTTTGCTAATGACTTACATTTGTATCCTGATTTAGATTAGGATAGTATCTTATTTTGAGTATAGCGTTTGATAAATCTGTGCCACAAACGAGTGCAGCATAGGCTACAAGCTAACACCAGCGCGACTCCCTTACCTCTTCTCTGTCTGCCTATCTTTCACTCATGTCTCTCCTTATTGACTACTGTCTCTCCCTACTCCCATCTCTGCCCTTAATCACAGCTTTGAGGCATGCATTTTCAAAAACTTTTTTGAGAACAAAATCACAAAACAACCCCAATTCCACACTTGACACGTGATGTGAAGTTGTGAGTTACAACAAACACAAGTGGTGGATGGGTTGACAACCACACCTGTGTGCATTGAGCAAGTAAAACCTTCTTGTGGCATTACAATGTAATGTACAACTCTGAAATGCTTTTTTCCTGCACAACTGACAAAAGCTTATCATAACTAACGTTAACTGTGAGGGCTGCTACTCAGGTCAAATAATTAGCTAGAAAATAACATAAATTGGTAAACAAGTTAGCCTAGGCTACTAAAACGAACATCAAAACTTAACGGGAACAACTTATGCTAAAAATCGATGGAATGCGGGCGAACCTAAATGTTATCATGCAGACTTCTCACAAAGTATTCAAAATCATATTTTCTATGTGGAATACATATTTTAATACTGCACATCCCGAGTGTAAGAAAATTTATTTCACCCGTCACTTATCTATTTCCAGGGCATATCCTCAGATGACTCCACCAAGGTTTGACTCACTACACATGGCTCCTGGAGATGCTGGGAAATGGCCAACTGATCGTTTCAGAGACACTGGAGATTCCAAACAAATGAGTGTAATCAATACTAGTGTAGGTTTGTGGTTTACAGGACCTCAGATTTTATCTATGTTAAAGACAAAATGTCGGGGGATCACTGATAGCAGGAGTCCTGCTTTTCATGCACTGTGTTCCATAAATCAGACGGTTCCTGCTTGTGGCACATGTCTCACTAAGGAGGCCTTCCCAGTTTATTTGACCCATTCAGACACAGAGGATACATTTGAGACAGAAATTGTGTCTAACCAGCAACTTACGACCTTTAAGAAAGGTGATACTAAATACAGCCACCAGACTATAGTTATTATGGAAGAAGACCCTGCAGTGATTGAGTCAGCCACTTACCTATTTGAGAGACATCCCACGGTATCAACTTTGCTGCAGTACCAGAAGGGGGCGCTGCATGTTCTCAGGGGAAGTCATTTCTCATCTACTAGAAATCATGTCATACTGGTTGGCCATGGAAGCAATGGTACCAATGGACCAGTCCAGCTAGGTGGTTATGGCCCAGAGGAACTTGCCAGAGTTGTGTCAACCTTAAAAAGTCAAAGTATCTTCAGTCATCTTGGCACCATAAGCATCGTCAGCTGCAACCTTGGAAATGACCGGCACTTTATGTTGCAGCTGCTGCAAGTTCTCCGATCTTTTAGTGTGGAAACAAAGCTGCACCTACACAACTCCTTGCTGTCCGTTAGCTCTGATGGAGCAATAATGACTTGGACTGACGGCGTCTGGAGGGCTCATGACCACAGCAGAAGAGTCATTGCTGAACTGGACCAAAGAGGTGACCTGCTTACGAAGGTAGAACTAGGCTGTGCAGGGCCTGTCTTTCCTGATTATAAAGGAAATGTTTTGTATATTCAGACATTGGAGTGGCCAAGCCACCCTCAAATGTTTGTTCCAGTGGAGCTGCGTAAAAAGTACCCTTCCATTATCTGCCTGGAGGGGCTTACTTGGAGCTTGTTCTTTGAGGAGAATGAAAGAAGACGTGCATCTGATTATGTCCCCAGTCAAAAACACCTGAAAGCAATTTGGCTTACAGAGCCAGGACCAGATGAAGACAACATTGTCTTCAAGCATATCAGTAACATCCAGGATCTACTTGTAGAGATACGATACAATGCCAGAGAGGAAGTTGCGTCAGACCTTTACTACGTTCTCAATGAATGCATTTACAAAGTACATGGGAAAAATCTTAGTGTAAGTCTGGTGGGCAAGTTCATGAGCACTGACAACCAAGCAGAAATTGATCTTTTCCGTCAGAACTTCAATGTTCAGCAGGGTGAGCCCTCCCTGCAGGAGCTGAGACAGGGGCTCAAAGCATCCAAATTCAATGACTTCTGTCGCCAGACTTTCCAGTTCCAGCAGTGTAACTTCAACTGTGAGAGATGGGGTCAGTACTTCATGGCTGCTGTGTTTTCAGCATCAGTGCGGAACTTCAGAACCTTCTCGCTTTTCCTCATGAGTGTCATAGGTTGTGAGGTAGGCCGCTCACGGGGGATGGACAGCCCCCTGTGCACAGCATTTGTTGGCGCTGAACACCCCATGGTGACTGATGATCCCTGGCCTGAACCTCTGCAACGAGGATTCTATGGGTGCTCTGTTGACAACTATGAACAGGCTCCGCCCAACAGACAGATTTGGTTAGATCAAGTTGTAGCAAAGGAAAACGCCCTGTACGTCGCCTCGAAGCAGATAATGAATGCTGCCGTCCGTGATGAGCAAACAGAGCTGGACATCTTTGGGAAGGTCAAAGTCATGAATAAGTACGTGTTCTCATCTTATCTAGAATTCTTTCGAGGTACACCTGAGGGAAAGAAACTCAAGAGAGGATGTACTCCCTCTTTCCAAGAGAATTTAAACCCATAATGGTGAAACGTGTGATTCATGTAGTTCATTTCATTTTGTTTTCGTTGCATAGTTGGCTCCAGTATTCTTCTAAGCAGAATGGTCCGACACAGTTTTGCCTGATGCTGATATGACATTGCAATAAAGTGCCATGCAGTCTACCTCTAGTGCTTCAGCTTGCTGCACAGTTTGATAGTGTTTTAATAGCTAGAAGAGTGGAACTAATCTTGATAATGTAGCAAATTAAAGCAATAAAACATAACTGTTACAGCCGACATGTCACATTTTCTTAGAAACTACTTACACTATGTGAGACCAATTGTTTCTTACTAAACCAATAAATGATTAAATCATAACAAATGCAGTACTGGTAATTTCTTTGTATGTTTATTACATCATTTTTCTTACGGTGTCACACTGGTCAGAATACAGAGAACTTCAAAACATAAATACATAGAAAATGCAGGATCACAGAGGGAAAGCATTACTAGTAGAAACGTATAAAATGGACTATAAAGCATGTATTTTGTGCTTTGTTACTGACACAAGGTTAAATTGAGATGATTCTTATCATATACTTAAAGATTCAGACAAATTACCACTTGAAGTTACTATGTAAACAGCCGTTGCCAACACAATAACATACACTGTGAATTGAGAATTGCAGTAATAATTGATGAGTCAGTTCTGCACAAAGGAAGAAAGTATTTCTATTTAAATGTTTGAAAGCCTCTGAAAGGTAAACTGTCACTCTTCCTCAGTATTTCTAATAATCTGGCCTCAACTCTGATACATACCCTCATACTGCTGTGTCTTCTGAATGAGTTACTTACGAATGAGTTACTTATGAGTTTGCATTTTTGACATGCAAAACTGACTACACTATTTCACTGTATATAAACTACATGATTGCCATTAATGTGGTTAACTAGTGAGATGACCACTGCCAGACAAGTGAGAAAATTGATTGTACACCATTTTGAAAACTGTCTGTCAAAACACAACTCGTTTGAAGGCACCATGAAACACTATGATACACGGTAAAGAAACTTAAATTGGTGCTTATGAGAGAATATGAATATATTAATGACTATGCCTGAGATAATGGCCAGCGCCTTTTGCACCGGTTAAATTTAAAATTCTACAAACAAAGTGCTTGTTGGATTGTCTAGTAGTGTCTGAAAGGTTCAATATGTGTAATTAGTTTGTGCAACATGTAGTCTGACCACGTCTGAAGGCAGAAGTGTTTGTAGCTGTTCTGGATGCCCACTGGAAGACATTCAGAACGTTGCACTGGGCTGTTCACGTGAGAAGTGACAGCTTTTCATGGGAAGGTGATTCTGAGATTGTCAGTTTTGGAAAGTAAACATTTTCGGACACAGCCCCCTCCCAAATAGATGTGCGTGTGTGTGTGTGAGAGGGATGTTCAATGATCCAACAAGCACTTCCTTTGAAGCATACTAAACTATCTTTCTATGGATCACCTAGGACCTAATGTGTGTTAAGTGTAAAGTTGATGCCTATACTGGAGCTCAGTTTATTGGTGAATCTTTGTTTTTTTTTTTGCTGCGTCATAGAGACTTCTCCTTATTCTCCCTGGTTTTGTTATCAGCACCTCCACTCCCCAAATCTCCTCCAAGGTGATGTTTTAAACCTCACCACAGCTAGCTTCTGAGTTTGATCTGGGAGGAAATGTTGGGATCTGGGGACAACATAACAAAAGGGTGTATTTTAACTATTACAACAGATAAGGGCAGCTAAAAGTCTGTGGCTCAACACATGCTAGCCAAGATCAGATGGTCCTGTCCAGTAACAGGAACTAGTATATTAAATAAAACATCTGACTGCAAATGACTTAATCATGGTCAACAAATGGCTACAAACAGATGTTATCCACTGCTAAGGACGAGGATGATTATTTTTTGTAAGCTACATTAAATTGTAGTTTGATTCTTAAAACCTTTAAAAAATATAGAAATGTGAATACTTTGACGATGTGAGAATTTAAACGCAAACTAATTATAAAAATTATAAAATTATAAAACTAACCTGAATTTGAACTTTAACTGGTGCAAAGGATGCTGGGCATTATACTGGTGGAAGAGTGATGTGGAAACCTGCCAGATAGAGATCACGGCATCTAAAAACTGTAACAGCATAAATGTTGGGAACAGCTTGCTGGGTGCAGACTAGACCTCGCACTTTTGTATTCTGTCCGACACCGGATGAGGCTAGTGATGTTACGTTGTTACTCTGTTTAGTTAACTTCCAGGGTGGAGACGGAGCTTGCTGTTGGGTTGGGCTGAGAGCCTGCTCTTCACAGGAGGATGCAGCTGCATGAGGAACCCTTCTGGCTGCTGAGGAGGCCGTACTGCGAGGTGGCTACTGACTGGATTAACTTCCAGAAATTATTGAAAGAGATGCCCTCGCCGTCAGCTACACCCATCTTCCGCAGGATCTCACTCAGTCCCTGATCTGTGCCGATCCCCTGTAGGAACACACCATGACAACATGTGAAACTCAGGCCGTGTTTTCTCATCATAAGCTAAGTAAAAAAAGTTAGGAATTATTTCTGTGTTCTCAGTGAAAGTGAAGATGCTGGCCACTAACCAGAACTTAACCCTACGTTAAAGGATCATTCCACTTTATTACAACATGGGCCCGTATTTATTAAGCTTCTCGAAGTGCCCTTTTAGTCTTAAGTGCTGAGGATTCATAAAAATTACTCTCCCAGGTGTTTGAGACAGCTTGAGAGGTCACTGTGGAGAAGGAGACATGTGCGAACACTTCAGCAGAGGAAGAATGTTTCTAAATTCTTCGATGACGCTAATTAAACAGTAATTAGTTAATTAAACGGTATCGTTTGGACAGAGCAGGCATCAACTTTGTCGGCCAGCTGGTGAGGGACGTCATCTCACCACCGACTTTAGCAGCAATGTGTTTTCAGCTGAATTGAAGGTGGTGATGGCGCTTCGTTCCTTTGCCACAGGACAAATGCAGCAATGCTGATGATTTAGAGCCATCACAACCATCAATCAGCAGAATTGTCATGGAAACAATTATGGCACTTACAGCTCCACACTGTCGCGCGTTTCATCGACTTCCCAACAACACCCCGTGTAATCCAACAGAAGCAAACACAATTCATGCAAATATCCAGGAGTAGAAGGCTCAACTGATGGCACTCATAAAGATCTTTTTTTTTCTATTTCCAAAGTGTATAATAATGTATTGTCCCGGAAGTTCTTTACTGTCCAATGTGTGTCTAATGTAAACTCCTCTTAGGAATCAGTGGTCCTCCCATGCATCGTCATCCGAAATTCCATTTTCCATCACAGCAAAGTGTCGTGAGTCAGCTCCAAGACTGACACTTAAGATTTATATATTTATACTTTATATACATGAATACTTATCTTAAATTAGGACTGAGATGCTTTTTTTTTTACTCTTAAGTTAATCCTTAGCAGTGTTCTTATGAGTAATTCTGGGAAGCTTGGGAAATTACGGGCCCTGGTTCTCATATCTAAGTCAGTTACAACAATGACATCAACCGCGTGACATCGACCCCACAACAAACCCACCCTAACTTAATATGATGACCTAAAGGTTATCTGAAAGCCTTTCCAGAAATGTAATTCTGGTGGAGAAATAGCTAATCCATTGATGTCATTAAAATCGTACTTTTTAATACGGTGAGTCAAGAAAGCCTATAAGCCTACAATAACCCACTATGGGCCAGATTTACTAAAGGTTTGCGAGAGTAAAACGCTTGCAAACTTGATATCTACAGCTGATCTACAAACGGTGTGCACGCAGAGTGACATCTTTCAAAAGCACAAGATAGCACCTGTTGTTCATTTAGTACTTTTGCCTTAATGAATATGCAATTCGGGGCGTAACATGCAAATACACTTATTTACTACACGCAATGCAATCTACCAAGCCTAAACGCAATTTCACCTGAGAGCAACAGCCTCTGTATTTAATACGTTTGAAAGTGTTGCAGAGATGGCTGCTGTTATCGTTACCAGAAGGAGACACATTCGTAATGAAAGAAAACGTAGAGAAATTAATAAAATGAATATTATTGAAATACGGTTAGTTTATTTTACTTATTCGATAAACTATATGAATAATTTTTTTTTGTATTTTCATTTAGCTTTGGCAATACTGTTTCAAATGCAAATTTCGTTTCGACCTGACTTCTTTTCTTTCTGCAGTAGTGCATGGATCACGCATAAAATTCAGTGTTCACAGCGTGCCGGTCGTAATAGCAACACAACATATTGTAGGTATCAGAGAGGGAATGGGGCATTGGTGTGTACAGGGACAGGAGATCGCGGAGAGACCGGGCACGGTGCGGACGGTCGGTGATCGTTTCCTCTGGCTGGATGAAGCACGATCTGCTGGCCTTTCCTCGCGTCTGGGTCATTCCAGCATACTGGATCTGTTTCTGCTGGGGTTTCCCAAAGCAGTTTTAACTAAAGTTAGTTAGTTTCTAACTTTTGCCTAAAATTACAGTAAAGCTAACTATCGCTAGCTAAAGCTAACATTTCTTTTACTTAAATGAGCTATGTGATTCTAGCTAGGTGATAGCCCGGTCTATCATTTCCAGTGTTGGTCCTGTATGGGCTCTGAGTGAAACTTTCCTCAATAAATGTGGTGGCTGTGGCCCCTGTCAGAGAGGCTGCAAACATGCCTATCCAGCTTTATTTAGAGGTCAAAGTGAAATATCCCTCATTGTGCAGGAAGACTATGATGGGTGTTCATGGTGGACAGTTTGGATAATTATTTTCCAGCCCACCTTTGTTTTCTCTTCTAAACCGGTTTGTCTGACCTGTTGGCTTGTTTGCAACCTGTCTGACCATCTGTCTGCTTGTGTCTCTTTACCTGTCAAATGTTTGGTGATGTCAGGTATTAACTTGGTTTGTACAATGTTATCATGGACAAACAAACAACTATTATCCTTCATCCTTCATGCATTTCAAGTTTCAAGTTTACACTGCACAGGATGTGCTTCTGATGAGGCATGTCAAGGCAGAGTGTAAGAGCAAGATGGAACTTAAGATTGCAGTGTCACGTCCAAAAAAGGTTAATTAGGATTTTTCCAGGGCTGTACCTTCCAAAGGAATACTCCAATGAAAATGTATTGTATGTGCATCTGTTGGCTTGAAGTGTGGCTCAGAAAGGTTTGTTTTTTGCTCTTCAAAGGGATGAGCACTGTAGTTATCTTGGATTCACTGCAGTTGCACTTCAAATATCAAAACATCCATAGAAAAGTTTCAGACTACTTCTGCAACATAATCCACTTCTGTGTCCATTCGTAAACCTGGTGTGTTCCAGTCATACTGTCACACACTAACATACATTAAGTGTCTATATTAGAGCCATTGTCCAAGCCTTTAAAATTAAAATGGTACACTCCACCTTGTTCCTCAGTTAAATAAAAACTTAGATGATGGTTTCAGTCACCTGAGCCTAGGTCTTGTTGTGTGTGTGTGTGTGTGTGCGTGCGCCTTTTAGTTGTGTGTTTACTGTGTGACTTGTCTGCTGAGCATGTTTCTGTCTCTGTGTGAGGTGAGCAAAGGCCACATGTGCTGCCACACCCAACTGCTGCCGTCTACAGCTCAGCTGAGGGTGAAGCACATGGAGATTAACTGCAGTTTTACCTGGACCATGTTGGGCATTTGGGAGGACAAAAGACCTTTGAATTCATCCGTTTTCAGCGTTGGACTATTGTCAGCAGAAGCCGAGTGGAACTGGGTGACCAGCGTGTTGATGGCCGTCTCCAGGTCTGAATACTGGGGAGAAGAAAAGGGAGGAAGGAATGGAGGGAGAAAGACATGGTTATAACCAGATCCAATACCAAAAATCCAAAACAAAAAACATTTTATCTGTAGAGCACGTCAAACACACTCAAATTGAGACCCTGAAGCACTCCTACCCAAACATTTCCACATCTAATATAACTTATATGATGAAGGACACTGTCCTCTAACTAGCTTTGTTACTGGCTACTCACCCCAAAGCTGCAGCTAATGACCAATCAGCAGGGAGAATGCAAAAAAATGGTCAGAAATTTCTCCAAACTAAACGATGACTAATGATTATTGCCTTCAAAAACAACCCATATGCACATTTCCTGATCTGCTACCTCTCTGGTTAAGGCTTGGTTACATTTAGGTAGGGCTGGGCCATATGGTCAAAACTGTTATCACGATAAAAAATGTTATATCATTCGATATTGATAATTATCAGGATAATTGTCAAATCGTTTTTTCTTTCAAGTTTAAAGGCTGATTTTTGCTCTTGCGTGAAAATTGAAGAACATGGTCAGAACATGACCGCCAAACAGTGGATCACTTCACAAATCTTAGGGAGAATGTTCAAAACAATTGTGATAAAATCTTTTTTCAACAAACATTCAAAAAATTAAATAAATCTTTTTTCAGTCCCTTCTCCTCAACAAACTAAAGATCTTAATAGAAAAATTAAGTGCTAATTCATTTGTGATTCAAATGAATAAAACATTTATTGAACATCTGTTATATTGTTATTGAGGAAAATTATTTCAAATAATTATCATTATTATTTTATTGCCCAGCCCTATGTTTAGGCAAATAAAAATACTTGGTTAAAGCATCTATAATAGATATTTATATTCTATTAATATATCGAATAACAACGTGAAGCTTCTTAAAAAGTTTTAAAAAGCTGCGATCTGCAGACCTGCTCAGCAGCAAAAAGACACCAGCTGGTGAACATAGTGGAGCATTTAGCAGCTAGAGGGCAGATATTCAGGAGCTGGTGGAGACCAAAAACAGAGCTTACAGAGAGAGAATACTGGAATTCACTATATCAACTCAAAAAGTGATGATGTGTCAATTTTAGGTCCCTTTGACTCCATGTGGCTTTTTACATTGCTGACTTAACATGATGCATGCTAGTTAGAAATTTTGCCGGGGCCGCAAAACGTCACTATATCCGCTGTAGTTGTTTTCTCCAGCTGCACAAAGTTGGAACCACCGTTTGCGAGATCAGTCATTGTTCTAAGCTCACACAGGTAGAATGTGTCCGACTTGACAGCGCGGTTTTTATACCCTGCCCCTGCAGCCACCTCCTGCTCATGTTGGACAGCAGTTATCAAGTTGGCAGAACTTGTTTCTGCTGCCCCCAAGTGGCCAAAAACAGCTAGTGCTGTGTTAAAGCGAGGTGTGTCAAGCAAGCGAGAGACTCTTGAATTTCCTTCAGAACTTTCTTTTTCAATTAAACAGACACAAAGACGTTTTCATGCTTTTATTTTGTAGGCACAATCACGTAAGAGGAAGTGATTATGTGAGTAACTTTTGCTGTCATGACTGAGATCTGTTTCAGCACCAGCCGCTATAATGTTTAATAATGTTTAATAATGTTTCAGTTCCTAGTTAAGGACTACTAGCCAATCAGAAGCAAAGAACTGCGGGTTGTGTGAAACCGGTAAACACAGCTTCGGTTCAGCTGCATATCCCCTTACCAGCTTAGCAACATGGACTAGAGCAAGAGTTTCAGAGTGGTGATTTATTAATCTGTAACAAAAGTATCTTCCATCCATAAAGTTTTAACTGAGCTCTGTCTCTACATCACAGTAAAAACTGACTGCCTGGAGGGTAGCTAGTGTTTGGAAGGGAGAGAGGAGGCAGCAGGCGGATGTCTGCAGCTCAGTGTTTTTCCACCGGTGTTTTTGAGGGCGTGTCCGACTAGCCGCAAGGCGAGCATTATGACACATGTTTTTTGTGATGTCACAAGAAAGCGGGAGAAAAGGCTGGACTACACACTTTGTCACACAAGTCATGCTACCCGGCCGCCATCTTGGCAAAGCCTCAGGGCAGACCAGGCTCCTATCTGAATGAATGGGGAAAGAGCCAGAACTGCGCTTTTACTGGTCACCGGGACATAAAAACTACGTGACTAGTATGAGCAGTAAAATCTAATAAAAATCGCTGAAAAGGTTTGACGACTTTGCCCCAAAATAACGTTTAAAAAGCTTTCTTCCTGACCGGTTATCCTACTGTGCATGCGTCTCCACTTCCACATATGCATACGCAGTAGAAGTAAAACAGACCCTTAAGTCCGTGGAACCTCACGATTGGTTGAAAGATGTTTCCAGCTTTGGCTGTTAAAAGCAGATGATTGGCTTTCTAGCGGGAGGGGCGGTATAACCCACATCTTTGGCGTTACAGGCTTTCCCCATAGAGTTGTATTGAGGATGTGATTGAGTGGCGTGTCTCCTCGATAAAACGTCTCTGATTCAGAGCAGAGTTTTCTGTGGGAGTTGAGAACCCCCTTTGGTCTGGACTTTGGGCTTTTTCACTTTGCAAACCTGTTACATGCACAAAAAAGGTCTATAACTCAATAAAAGAGAGGGAAAAAGCCAAAAAGCAGAATATGAAAAAGAACATGTTGGGCAATATGATGTTGTATACATTAACACATTACCAATTTGTGTACCATCAGAGATGTTTTTGCACTGTGCCATTGTATCACTCCCTTAATATCTGGGAATGTATTAGGTTATTGAGGGTGATTCTGCAAATCACTAAGCAGAGTGGCTCTATAATACGGGATTTTGCATCAGTGAGCAGTGCCTTTATTTGTCATCTATTTTACTAGCTGGGTTAGCCAAAATACTTTCCTATCTGACTACTACTATATAAACTATCTATACTATCTATAAACATGATCAGAATCAGAAATACTTCATTGATTTATGATCTTAGTTTACTTAGTAAAAACAGTACTTTATCTTGCTATACAGTATCAGTACCGCAGTATAATATTACGTACCATATCGCCCATTCCTATTGGTCATACAACTACAAAATTAAGATCAGGGAAAGATTTTGCCCTTGGCTAAAAGAAACTAAAATTGACCGTTGGTAGGAGACAGGATGTGAACAACGGTGTCCAGTGGCAAGTCAAACAAGCAGGTTATGTTAAACAAATAGCAGGTAAGCTAACATTTCTTTAGGCTACTTGTACAAGTCTGGAGAACCAAAGGTGAGTTCTATCTTTTTGAAAGCCTTTAAAAAACTAATTTTTACAAGTTTACAAGTTTTATAAGCGAGCTGACAGAACAAACAAGGTCCCTTTGGTAGCTGATATGGAGCTTTTAACTGTTTAAAGCAATATTGTTTCTTTTGGCCACTTGGAGACAACGTTAGCATTCATTTCGGCTTTGTCAAAGATTTTTCACTGAACAACACTGATGAAAGCTGTGAGACTGAAGCAAACTTCAAATGTGCTGAAGAGTGAGACACTTTCCTCACAGTGAGCAACATATTTCAAATTCCATGCAATCATTTGATTCCATGTTGATGCTGATTAGAACAGATTTAAAGATGGCTGTCTTGTCGGCCGTCAGAGGAAAACGCTCCAGTCTTGTTCCATTTATTCAGTGTTTGTGAGCCAACAGCTTTGTCAAAACCACACCCTTTCTGACTGATGTCCCACAAGCTGCTGCAAGCCCTCTTCACCTCAACAAAAACGATCCCACAGAGAACACCAATTTCCTGACTAAAGACATGGCATAGTATTTACTACTGTAGCACCTTTTTAAATTCACAAGTATCTCTTCAGAGATTAATAAAGTTTCCAAAAGAAATACAAACACTGTCAAACGATGTAGTTAAATGGCAGGAAATAGAAATATGTAGGTAGGTTACCTTTTAAGACAAATCACTTTTTCACCTTTATAGCAAAGTACAGGAGTAAATCAGTTGTTTGTGATTTGGTTTCGGTGAGAACAATTAAAGATAGACTTCTTGTTACTGTTCCCATTACCACACCCTACATTTTTCCCTAGCTCACTGTTGATCTGAAACTCTACTCCAGGGGTGGCCAAACTACAGCCCACGTGTATACTGTTGGGCCACTGCCCGATTTTAAACTGCCTGAGGTGAATTTGTGGCTTAAGCTTATTTCTAACAATTTGCACTGTACGTAGCACATCCTAGTTTAATTATCGCTGTCATCTTGAACAACTACTAGCAAGCCCTGTCACTGAATACTAGAGGCGCTGCCATTCTGAACAACGTTTTGTCCTACAATGACGGATAACTAGTGGATGAAAACATTTTCCTCAACCACAGGTTTCAGTGGAGCATTGTTTGCTCCAAAAACAGCTGTTTTTTAAGGATGTATTTTAAGCTTGAGGATGTTACCGATTGTGGTGGTTTGTTAGTTATGTGCTGGCTCTGTGAGGAAAGTTCTGTTTTCTAATTTTGGACAGTCCAGACAAAGTGGGACCAGAGGTGGTACCCCGCTGGAAGCTGACAGACCACTGGGGCCTCTCCCCCTCCATTCTGAACATTCAGGTGTTTAACGTCTTTCACTTTACTTTTTTTTATTCATTATCAGTAATTATTGATGAAGGAAGAACATGTAGCACAGTGAGAAAGGTCCTGAAATAAAGAGGAAGTCATGTTGCATTGCACAACCATGACCTACAAACTACAGACAGGTGCTATTCAAAATCAGACGTGTCCCTTATTTAGTCCCTGTATTAAATAATAAGATGGCTACACAAGTGCTCTTCTTAATGTTTCTGCAGGAACGCCTGTATACTGTGCTAGGTTAATGTTGTTAAAGTAGCTTCATGTAGCCTACAAAGGGCCTGACAGTCAGCAGGGAGGGGCCGCTGGCCTCTCAGTAGGACTCAAACTGGAGCTTTCGCTGCGGAACCGAAGCCGTCAGATTCCTAAAACAGAATGGCTCCAGTGTCTGATTTGTGAGAGGCGAGCAGTTTGACTCGACATATCCGGGACGAAGTAGCTCCACACAGGCGGTTTCTGCTCCTGGAGTGAGATGGGCGTCTTCAGCAGGAAAGCGCTCCGTACCGTCCTGACCTGAGCTGCTCAGTCTCACACGTTACAGTCCGCCCGAACGTCTTCAAGCTCAATCCGCGTCTACATGTCACGGTGTTATTTCGCAGCCAGGTTTTTCTCCCCGTGACAACGACATGTGAAGTTTAAAAAGTTTAAAAAGTTTAAAATGTCGACTTTACAAAACTTTGTGGAGTTTTTCACTCGGACTCTAGGTGTCAGAAACAAAAGAACAGCTCGTGTATCGTTTCTTACCTGAGGCATGTCGACTGAGAGTTCGAATGTGGTCACTTTTCTTCCTGCGTGTCTCGCTGCTGAACTCGCTGCTGCTGCTGCTGCTGCTGCTGTGTGTCAGTGGAGCGCTGCTTCTGTCACAGCTGGCAGCGCTCCTGGATCCTCCCTCTGCATGAGAGCAGCCAGGAAGAAGCGATCCCTTCAGCCTCCCTCACTTCATAAAGCACTGCAGCCTACCTTCAGGACACACACATACGTATGTGTGTGTCAGCTTATATATATTTTTCATATATATATATAAATATATATATATATATTTGTATGGTTGTGGTTTGAACAAACAATGTGTGATACTGTATACAGTGAAGCCAAAGGGTATTCCAGAGAAGCAGCTCTCATTCAACAGACAACTCATTCCACATCTGGAAACCTTTAGTAAAAGTTGGACACTGTTGTTTTGCGCAATAACTGCCTGCAAGTTGAGGCTGGTATTCTACTTTTCTTCCAGACTGTTAGTGCAGTTAACCTCTTCACTACCCACTGCGAATGTGACACCAGATACTTTTGATACTGCCCGTCCATATGCAAATCTGTCCAGATTTTAGGTGAGACATTCAGGGTGTGGGAAATGTCTTGAAGTTCTTGGACAAGGTTTTTCAATAAAAAAAAGGAGGGAGAGACAGAGAAGGAGAAGGAAACCAGCAAGACAACATTCTTTCTATCTGGTTTTATGACTTCAGACAGTCAGTGGGGTGGGTGTATAAGTGAGGGGAAAAGGCTTAACCACAAGAATCCATCTAAAAGGGAAAAAAACTTCAACAGAATTCCGGCAGAGCAGATCCGTAGCCTGAACTACAGAAAGAGCTTTTTTCCCAGGCTGGTACAGTAGAGTACAGCTGATCTTGGGGTGAAGGGTGTGTCGGAATATGGTTTCAGTGATTTTCATGGTTAGACCTACCCCAACTCTCTGCTTCTCCTTCCTCTCTTCTCCGCCTTGACTGTGCGACTGGCAAGGGTTGAGGCCACACCCAATCAAAGAGGCCACAGTGAATTGTTTCAGTATGAGACCATCAACCTTCCCCACTGCTCCATCCTCAGCGATACTGCACCGAGCTGCTCCCAGATGCTTGCATGCACAAGCACATATATACACAAACACAGACACCCCCCCACAAGTTAAACTTTCAGCTATCAGTGAACATTCCTATGATGTTACAAGTGATCCTTAGTCATCACAAATGACAGTGAACTAAAGAAAACAACATTTAGGGAGCCTTTTATGTCTCAGAAATACAAAACATATGACGTACTCCAGTAAATAAACTGAAGTTATTGCTCTGGGGCCTAAGCACCTCCGTGACACATTATCTAAAGATATAGTTTCTCTTGATGGCATCGCATTGGCCTCCAGCACCACTGTGAGGAATCTTGGAGTTATCTTTGATCAGGACATGTCGTTTAAGTCTCACATTAAGCAAATTTCAAGGACCGCCTTTTTTCACCTACGTAATATTGCGAAAATCAGGAACATCCTGTCTAAAAATGATGCAGAAAAACTAGTCCATGCATTTGTTACTTCTAGGCTGGATTACTGCAATTCCTTATTATCAGGCTGCTCGAAAAAGTCCATTAAGACTCTTCAGCTGATCCAGAATGCTGCAGCACGTGTTCTGACAGGAACCAGGAAAAGAGATCACATTTCTCCTGTTTTAGCTTCTTTGCATTGGCTTCCAGTAAAATCCAGAATAGAATTTAAAATCATTCTTCTTACCTACAAAGCTCTTAATGGTCAGGCACCATCTTATCTTAAAGAGCTCATAGTACCTTACTACCCCACCAGAGCACTGCGCTCCCAGAATGCAGGGTTACTTGTGGTTCCTAGAGTCTCCAAAAGTAGACTAGGAGCCAGAGCGTTCAGCTATCAAGCTCCTCTCCTGTGGAACCAGGTTCCAGTTTGGGTTCAGGAGGCAGACACCATCTCCACATTTAAGAGTAGGCTTAAGACTTTCCTCTTTGATAAAGCTTATAGTTAGGGCTGGCTCAGGTGAGTCCTGAACCATCCCTTAGTTATGCTGCTATAGGCCTAGACTGCCGGGGGATTTCCCATGATGCACTGAGCTCCTCTCTCCTCTACTTTCTCTCCCTCTGTATGCAACCTTATCCCATTATTGCATGTTACTAACACAACTTCTCCCCTTTCTGGTAGTCTTGTGCTTTCTCGTCTCTCTCCTCTCTCCTATCACTTCCTGCAGGTTTTCTAGCTCTGGAGCTGTGGAGTCTGGATCTGTGGCTGCGGGTCGCCTGCTGCCCCCGTGTTCCTGCTCGACACCCTCTGCTACAACAACTATTGTTGCTAGTCCTATTGTTATTATTGTTATTATAATCATTAACATTACGATGGTTACCATTAACACTATTATAAATATCTGTACCATTTTTCATTTAGTCTATAGCAACATCACCTTTACTGTCTGTACCTCTGTGTGTATACTGTGTAGGCTGCCTCCCTCCCCTCTCTCTTCTTCCATCCCTCTCTCTCCTTCACCCCCAACCGGTCGAGGCAGATGGCCGCCCACCCTGAGCCATGGTTCTGCTCGAGGTTTCTGCCTCTTAAAAGGAAGTTTTTCCTTGCCTCTGTCGCCTAGTGCTGCTCTTGGTGGGAACTGTTGGGCTTCTGTAAATAGCATCATAGAGTACGGTCTAGACCTGCTCTTTTATGAAAAGCGCTGTGAGACAACTGTTGTTGTGATTTGGCGCTATATAAATAAAACTGAATTGAATTGAATTGAATTAAATAAGTGTTTCACTTCTATAAAGTTGAGTTGGGGTGTGGGTGCTGGGACTCACCAAAGAAAGATTAAAAACAGAATGGTCTAAATCTCTGACTTAGAGTCCTTGATATGAGTCAAACTCCCAAAACACTGGATCCTACATTTCCCATAATGCAACTTGATAGCACCCTATGGGCAGAAATATTTGTCTCTATTGCACCCCTAACACCTTTTAAGCCTTCAAAGGATAGGGATGCTGGAAAAGCAAAACTTGGCACACCAGTCAGAAGGGATGAAAAATGTCTCAGTACTGCACAATAAAAACTTTCAATGAAGCAGCCCCGGCCGTACATTTCACCTTGATGTATGAAATTTGAGAGACAGATGTATCGTCTCTAGGCTTACAAAAAGCTTCTTGGAGCCATACGCTAAACCCAACAGGAAGTCCGCCATTTTGAACTGAATTTGAAATTTTAGTATTTATGCATAAACTCTCTAAACCTGAGCATACACTTTGTCTCACTCTGTCACTGTTTCCCGGTACTAAAACATCACCCACACAGATTAGGCAGACTTGATGCTACATATTCTTTGTTATTAATGTTCCTTTTGACAGTTATTTATATTTTTGTATAGTCCCATACTGTACAGATATTCCATCAGTTACTTAATTTTAGTAACCTTAGGTGCATCAAAAAGAATGTTAATGGATCAAGAAAACCCTAAGTTGACCAACACAACGTCCACTTAGATTTTCTTAGAATTTGTTGATATTTGTGTGATACAATACTTTCTACTACCTTAAACCCCAAGAACATCCACAAAACCTTTTCACTGCTCTACATGAACAATGCAATGCTTTGCTCCTGCATGAGTCAGAGAACACAGGGTTGCCTGCCTACCTCCCAACAAAGTTGAGATGTAAAAAAAATAATAAAGAGACCCATCAGCAAATCATCAAAAAATCCAAAGACAACAATCTGTTAATGCGTCTCTTAATACTTTCTCACCTCCAGCACATTTAAAAACACCTCAGAATATATATAGCTGAATTCTTTTTCAAAGGCTCAGTAGTCTCCTGAAACAGCTGGACAATATCATTTTGAACAAACATGACACACAGGAGAAAATAATGAATTTGTTGGGAACTATCTTTAGCGGCGGATTTATCCATGTGGCGCTCTAGTGAGTATTTGGGACAGCAGGACGTGTGGTGTGTGTGTTCATGCTGATGGAGTAACATGTCACCCGGTGCAGCAGTGAGGCTCACTGATGGTTTTACGCAGTTTTTGGACAACAATGGAGCTCTATGGCTCAGAGGACGTAGAGATATCAGGCTGTGATATACACACAGGACTCATTAGTACGATGCATTCACTGTTTTTTCGGGTCTGCACACAAAAACACTCAGAACGCCTCTTTACAGTATCTGACTACTGTTGATTCTCTGCTGTCACATTCAGGTCTCCACAACACACAGCATATTCAACTATTCCAGCAGAAAAGACTGACGCAAACAATGGTCCTTCAGTTATTGAATCTGGGCTAACAAAATGACTGGTGCATTTATTCAGAATTCCTGTCAGTTTATAAACTCAGTGCTGAGCTGAAGGTGAAATCCCTCTAGGTGTTCTTTCAGTTTCTCCCTCACATTTTCTCTCATCACCGATGCAGTGTTGTTTGCAGACTGCTGGTCACTATGTTCACTGTCACACGCTGCTTCATCTCTGGACAGAGCCCCACTGGTTTCTGTCATGTGTCCCAAGTCTCCTTTAAGGTCCGCTTGTGACACCAGTATGGTTCGTGCTTCGACAGCAACTCCCTCCATCTTGAGAATGTTTTTCAATCCGTCTTCAGCAGAGGCAGGCACCAGAATGACCTGTCCCTCAGCACTGCCCTGGATCCAAAACAGCTGCTGCTGCAGGTTCGGGTGATGCTCCGGAACCGCAGCCTCGATATCCCCTTCACACGTGTCAGAGAGCAAATTCTGCTGAGAGCCTAAAAACTGCAAACTCTGCTCATGGATTACAGGCAGAGTGACTCCAGCAGGGATCACATGCTGAAGACCTTCAGTTTGGAGCAGGACTTGAGACTTTGTTGCATCCGAGTCACTGGTTTCTACAGCTTTCCAAGGTCGTCTTTCCAAGCTAACTATCTGTATGTCGTTGGCATTTTCAGCTGTGCTACAAGAACTGGTTTCAACAGAGTCCTCATGCATAACAGGCTGGTCTACTTTGACAGTCTTTGAAACTCTGCATGCTACCTGACCACCAACCTGCACCTGTCCTCTTCCACAGTAAAAGCAGTATCCCTTCTCCTTCTCAGACCAGCTGTTGGTGTCTTGAAGAAAATGACCCTCAAACTCTATCTGATCCACACAACTGTCTTCAAACACCCCTGTATCCTCAGCTATAGCATCAGTCTCACTCTCCTCCTGGTTAGAGCCTCCTTTGCCTCGTCCCTTCTCCCCCCCGGGTGTCCAGCTCCCCCTGTTTTGACAACCATCTCGTGACACAAGCAGAGCCTGCTTCAGCCGTTTATCACGGAGCCTCAGCACAGTGCTTCGCAGGCGGTTCTCCCTCCGCCTGGCTGCGTGCAGCTGTCGCAAGGCCTTCTCCAAGCAGTCAATAGCCTGGTCGAAACGTCTCCTCCACAGCAGGGGGAAGAGCTGTGCATAGCTGTGCTCCTTCGACAGGTAGAAGCCTGGAGGAGGGGGCAGGCGCCTCATATAACGTGACGGGGAGAGGGGCTGAGACGGTGGCGAAGGACTTCGTTCTTCCTGTGAGAGGTGCTCCACCCCTGGCAGCTCTTGAGAAGATGCTGGTTTGTTTTCATTGGCCTCCCCAGCTGCTGCTACTGACCTCTGAACTGTGGGTTCTTCTGAAGTCTGACCCATGTCTCTCTCCTGCTGAGGATTCTCCTGGTTGCCGGGATTCTTCCTACAGAAAGATGAAGTCACAAAGGCGGTCTGTTCCATTAGTGTTTCACATGGTACAACATACAGATGGGTGGACAAACATTTTCACATTTTCTTGCTACGTCGTTTCTTCTGGGCAAATGCTAGCTCTTGTCTCGTGCCGTTGTATAATCACTACAGGCCGGCGCCACCAGCATTGTCTCAGTCATGTGTGGCAACGCCTGTCACTTGTTGTGCCTCAACTGAGGGGCCGCATCCTTTAAAGAAGAACGAATGGGTCACAAGGCCTCAAATTCGGAGGACGAGTCCTTCCGATGATGCAACCCCTGAACTGAGACACAGCTTGTCACTTTTCTTTTTTTGTGCTCACATTGTAAATCCATTCAAACCATCTACCCTCGTTTGGTGTTTTGATGATGGTGGTGGAGAGCGCGGTCTAACACGCCACTCCAAAACCCATTGGTGTTCAGCAGGTTTGAGATCATCAACCTTAGCGTAGGCCATTGCGTACGATTCGCATCATTTCCATCCTCATAAAACCATAAAGGGAGGCAGGGACCTGTATTGAAACTTCTGCTTTCCTTGAAAAAACTAAATAAAACAAAATAATAAAATCTTCATTTAATGGTAAGGTGACAGCTGCATTTTCACAGATGACTGGGGGCAGGGATCCTGGCGCTGTCACGAGTCACCCTTGATCGAGACCATCTTTTTAACTGCCTAACTGCTAACTCTCCTGTCATTGCAGATCCTGCCTCTGCCTCCTGCCCTACAGTTACTAATCTAACGCCTCCTCGCGTGAGCGTCCCCACCCATCTTTACACCTGGAAGTCTTTACCCTCATCAGTCAATCATTCATTTCATTCATGCCATGCCTAGCATTCCAGCAATTCCCTGCCTGATCTGCCTGCATATTTTTTAGACTTGATTACAGATTCTAGGCATTCACCTTCCTGCCTCTGGTCGTTACAGGTGCACATTTACTGGTTTGCATGGTACTAGTGACATTGAGAGATACCTGTATTTACTAACTTTGTTAAGAAAGGTGCAACTAAACAATGTTGGTTATTATTGTATCTTTAACCACATTTAAATCTTCAGCACTGTAGTAACAAAAATTAAACTGGTCTATTGTTTTGAGGACTGCCTTTACGTTCAAAGTCACTAATGCCAGAACTGGGAACTGACATTACAATTCCAGTAATTATCTTTTTGCTGCCTATGACTGCAGATAACACATTAGTTGAACTCATGTCTCATTATCATTTTACAAGCTCAGAACCTTTTATATGCTCTTCAGAGTGAGACCTCTTAACTGCTAATCAAAGTTTGGCATGTGAAACGTCATTTCATGAGTAATGACCCTGTTTCAGTTCTGTTTACCTGACAGGAACGTCTTCTCGTTTCTGCAGTGTTCCTGGTCTTTTGCATTTGGTAGTTGAAGAGGAATCAAATACTGTAGGAAATGCATCTTCCTTTAGTCTTCTGATCCCGCTGTGAGTAAAAAAAAGGTCAAACACATTTTAGTCTGCCATCAGCAGACCCATACTTTGCACTAATGGTCAACAACAGAAAATTGAGAGTTGAACGACTGATATCTGTAATCTCTTAGCGTCCTGATGGGAGTCCACAGACCTGCATCCAGTCAGTTCAAAACTTTCTGGGGTGAAGTGTTTGGAGCAAAAGTAGACAAAGTCGGTCTGAGGGTCCCAGTAGTCTGCACGGTGGGAGTTGGTGATCCAAAGGTTCCTCCGAGTTGCTCCTTTGGGTAATCTGGCCATCACAATGACAAACAATTACTGAGCAAAGTAGCAACTGTTGTCACATTTGTCATTTTAACACTTAAGTGTACCAAATAACCCATTGTCAAGTCTGAACAGCAACACTTTCTACAGGCAGATAGGAGCATCAAGGTTATGATCGTTTACAAAAACAAAAGAAATAATGAAAAGTAGATGTGAAGAAACATTGTCATTAACTGAAAAAAAAAAAAAGGCTTTACAAAAAAACAATAACTAACTAAAACTGTATTAGGTATAGGTTTGCAAAACTAACTAAAATAAACGAAAATGAAAGAGAAAGGCGTTTTCGTCTTTGTCAACTTATTTCATACAGCCGACATGAGTCTATATTTTGGGAATATATGGGGCCGGGTGGAACTGACAATGTGGGGCAGTTGTTCTGGCCGGACCGGCAGTTCAGCGGTGCGGGCAGTGGAGGCACCCGTTTGTAAACTGCAGGTGTATTATGCTTTTGTGGTCCACATGAAGAGCTGTCATATGCTGCATGTTCAGCAACTGTCCTACGACGATGTGAATGAGTCAGATTTTAATCGGAATTGGTGTCTCGCTTTATTCGCGTCCATACAGAGCGTAGCAAGTGATGGACCGTTGTTAGCAAGATTTTTGGGAGCATGCCCATGTAACATTAAGGGTAATTTAGATGGGGAGACCCAAGTAGGGGTTGGCTGCTGGCTGGTGAAAAACTAGATCTAAACTTACTGTTTCCAACACCTCAATGTCTTTTTTAAAAAATCTGTCTACACATTAAATAATCATGTCAAACACAGCATGCAAATAACCCAGCTGTGGAGTTCTTGGAAGGTGCATTCATTCATTTTTAGCAGAGCTAGGCAAGCAGCGTATCTCTGCTTCCCACAAGATCCATTTTCTATCAACGAATATTTGCCTCATCAGTTCAGCTCTCGTTGAAAGCTAGATACAGTGCAAAACAAAAATGTAGTCTGCCAAAAAACTGCCATTGTGCTAAGTAAAGTACTGTAATAGTACAATGGAGATGGACCAACAAAATTCCACAGGTTTTTAAAAGTCAGATGCATATGACCATGATGTTTTACGAAATGTAAAATGTTCACTTGTGAAAAGTGATGCCAGCATTACGAGTCTGCCGGTTGTCCCGAGATTTGCAGCCACCTGCTGAGCAATGTCTTGGCATCTGAAAGTGATACAGAGAAAAGTAGTAGTCAATAGTAGTCAGTTATATAGCTTCTCACCTTCCGTATACATCAATGTGCCACAGAACCTGTCAGTTTAGCACTTCTGTTAATGTAAAGGCACAATAAGTCATATACTACTTAAATGACCACAGTTGTTGCTGATCAATGCCAGCCAATTCCCTGTTGCTGCTGAGGTCAAACGCTACTTCACACGTCAGTAAAGACTGTGTTAGGGTGTGAGACCATGGCCCAAGGACGGAATTAACAATTATAAATGTGAAGGTTTCAAAGAGTCCTTAAAAATAAAAATCCATCTGATTGGCTGAGCAGTGTGACCAATGGGTGCATCTAAAATGTTGGAACTATCATTCATGCAATCAGATTGTCTTAGGGGGAAAAAAAGGATATAGTGAAACAGCAGGGAAGGTCAGACTAGAGAATGATTTCCTGGTTGTGGAGAAACTATTGACATAGTCAGAAAGGAGGAAATGATGCAGAGAACAAAGATGCAGCCCGATAACAAAACAGGGCACCAGCAGTCCAAATCTGCTGCGGTCAAGAGATGGAAAAGTTACAAAAGAGACCGCATTTTTAAAGACAATGACAACTGACAAAAGTTCAAATTTACTAATGTAAATTTACCATAAAAAACAGTCTTTGCTGTATTTCTGAAAGAAATCACATTTATCATTTCTTGAGTCTATCTATTGTTACCAACACATTCAGCCCGTTCAGAGAGAACAGACAAACTGGCGAAAGAAGCAGTCATCAAGAAAGTGTTGAAAACAGTATTAATATTATCAAAATCAGAGTGTTGGAACAGCGCAGTGCGGAGAAATGTAACTCACCAGTGACAACAGGACTGACATAACACAACAACAGGGAGACATTTACGCTCAATCCAAAACAAGGCAGGTGAACTGAGAAGCAGGGGAACAAAACGCAGAGAGCAGGTATTTACGCAGACTGAGAACACTGCTCATCACAGGAAAACATCCAAAGGGTCTGTGTGCTCTGCCATGGGTCCAGCTTATCCAGACATCATGCAGGACGTGGACACAGGGAGGACAAGACATGAGGACACAGTGAGTGGACAGTGTTAGGAGAATATCTGGATGGCGACACCGTGTTCCAGGGAGGGAAGGCTTTGATTTTTAAGGACGACAAAAAGACTTTAAAGACGAATGAAACCTGAAGGTGGCAGTAACGCAACACCGTGGATAACAACTGCCTAAAACCCATGCTAAAACCTCCCTAGGAGTAAAAGAAGGAGTAGAAGAAGAAGAATAGGCAGCGTTGATAGCATTGGCTGCTGTAACGCTTAGGGAAACATAAACAAACAGTGTCTAGCCAGCGAAATGTTTAGGAAAGAAAATAGACCTAACGTTCAATATATCAACGTTTTACGTCCAGCATGTGAAACGCTGTTTTTGTGGCCCGCCGGCGGTTCCAGCGGTGTGTCTCCTCGTTACGACTGCATTTAAAACTGTTAATCAGTTTACCGCCAAGCGCATTCGCTTTGGAGATATTTCAGTGAAACAGGGAATAACGTTACTGGGTAACTTCACGCTATTATCATGCAGCTGCTGACACGTCCTTTCCCTGCTGCCAGCTAACGTTGTCACGCTAATGTGACATCATGTAACAAGCTAACTCGGTGTAAAAGTCATGGACTCAAGTTGACTTACAGTTTTCGGTTCAGTATATCATTTATACATTCTAAAATATTACCCCTGCACTGCAGATGTCGACCTCACAAAGATGGCGGATCTGTTCTTTCATCCGTCTTCCTCATTTTGTCGTCACCCTTTTTTTTTTTGTAAAGAAAAAACTTTATTTATAACCCGCAGCACACTCCAAAGAAGACAATGTATTCATCCCGAAGGGAAGTTGCAGTAGCAGCAGTTTACACGAAAAACAAAACAAACAAATCACAGACTTACACAACTTGCCTAAATAAATCCATATGTATGATCAATGTGTGTGTGTGTGTGTGTGTGTGTGTGTATAAATACATGCATGGCTAAGTAATAAGAAAATAATTATTACAAATGCATTTTCAGAGGCATTAAAATACATTTGAATATGAGAGTGAGTTGTATTTTCAATCAAGCCTATAAATGTATGTAAAACTACAGGACAATCTTATTAATATAATACTAATATTAATTTTCTGTAGGTCTAGAGCAGAGCTTTTCAAAGTGGAAGGCGGGCCACACCAGGGGGCTCCAAACAGATTCAGTGGAGGATCAGTGAAATGAAAGTGAAAAAGGATTACATTAGTTATTTCTTTAGTTCTACGCGGTCTGAGCAGTTTTCAAAGCTAGCTAGCACCAGAGTCATTTTCAGACAAGAAGCGATTGATGCGCCCAGTTAATCATTTACAATGAGAGTTGAGCAGCATCGGACAAGCAGAAGCGATCATGTGAAGCTGTCGCGGTCCTGCTCATCTCACACACATATGCCGCCTGCTTCCAGAGTTTAATTGTCTTGACACAGTGGAATTTGTTGCCCATCTTTCCTGGCAATAAATGAAACAGTTATCATTTCATGAGACTTTATCATCTGTTAATTTTAATACTTAATACATTGTTTTTAGGACTAATTAAAGAAATGTACAATACACTGTATAATGCTACATGGTAAATAAAAGGCTTCAAATAGACCCAGTGATCAGTGATCAGCAATCGGTGATCGGCCCAAAATATCCTGATCGGAGCACCACTACGATACGTATGGTACTGTTGGCTATTCCTGCTATTTTAGTAGTTTCTTCAAACAAGAAAATGATGAATTAAACAGGCCGAACTGTTACTAATGTGTCTTTGCTCTATTTATTCAACACAAATTAAAACATACAAGACACAACAAATAAAACAAAACAATAATGACACAAATATGTGTAAATCATCATCATCAATCATTAGTTAATTTACTAGTACACCTTTAGAAGAGAGAGATCTGATGTTTAAGAGTCCACATTTAACTCTCCTATTCGTTTGCACTATTGCTCTTGTTGTTTTAATTTTTATGAGGTTTTTATGCACAGCTCCTCTTCTGTTTACCTTTGATTTAAATAATTTCGATGGTCGGGGGCAGACACCGTCACTATAGGATTTTCACTAAGTAACTCCTGAAATGGAGGAGCAGAAAAGTGTGTTAGACTGCGACTCTGCGTAGGGTTTTGGGTGGGTAACTGCTGAAAAAGAAGGGCAGAGAAGTGTGTTAAACTGCGACTCTGCCTCCTGGTCTCAACTCTGGGTTGTCCTGGATTTGGTCCACTAATAAACTTTGTTTTTGCATATGTACACACCGACTCAACATTAATCTTAGTGACCTCCGATTGGCGTAACCGGGAGTCATTACCGCCGACGTGAATAACAATCTTACTGTATTTACGTTTATCCTTAGCCAGCAGTTTCAAATAAGACTCAATGTCGCCCGCTCTGGCCCCAGGGATGCACTTAACTATGGCCGCTGGCTTCGCTAAATTCACGTTTCTCAAAATGGAGCTGCCAATGATCAGAGTTGGTTTCTCAGCGGGTGTGTCGCTGAGTGGGGAAAATCTGTTAGAAACGTGAACAGGTTGATGATGCCCCGTGGACTTTGAATGCTTACGACTATTCCTCCTTCGGACAGTCACCCAGCCACCCCTTCCTGGCTGCACAGGAGATGCCGGGGGACGGCTACCACAGGCTAACTCAGGCCATTCCGCACAGACTACCGGGAAATTAATTAACTACATAACTGAACAGTAACCAGGTGCTTCAGTGTGAATCAGTAGTTTAAGGTGTGCATGAGGGACGAGATAGTGTGTGGGTGTTGTAGGGTGCTTAAAAAAGAACAGAAGGAAAACTGAGGTAACACTGCAGTCCTCATGGCAGTGTGCCTGCAGGAGAGAAGAGTGGGAGTGAGAAGCAGAGAGAGCAGACCAAGAGCATGAGTAACATCACCTTGATTTCATAGGTTGGGATCACTGGGCCCAGGTGTTAACAGGGGGCACTAATCAAGATCCTGCCCAACTAGGGTTACCAGATGAGAATGAGTGAAATTCGGGACGGTGGAGGGAGGGGGGCTACCGTTACATTAGTGTCAATGAACATTAAAACACGTGAAAATCAAAACCCAACGGTGGTCATGATTAGATTTTTCTGAGGTTTATTGTTGTGATGTGTACATTGTCAGGTTATTTGCTAGCCGCCATAGACGGATGGACGTAGTGTCTGTGATGTCACCCGTAGGTTTCTGAAGAACTGTTTTAAAGTCCAAAGTTGGTGGAGCTGGTTGTCGCCATCTTGGCCGTGCGTCACCTTGCGTCGCTCCCGGATAACAAAAAATGAGCAAAGAGGCGGGTCATGGGTGGAGCTGATGTGACTGAAACCATGCCCACCTAGCGCAATGTGACTGAGTTAGCTCAAGATAAGAAGCTAATGCTATATGCTACTCTGCTTTAGCAGATGTAGCTTCTAAACCCCCGGGGCTGTATGGTGGAGGTTGGTAGCCTGTGGCCGTGTTGTTACCAGTCTATGATCGCTACCAGCTTACACTTGAGGTAAGTTACCTGAAACTATACAACAACACTTAAAATATTATTTATCTGTTATTGACATTATACTACACAAGGTTTAAATGCTTCAATGATTTTTAATATATAAATGTGGTAATGTTAATTTGCAACACTAGTTTTTATCATGACTAACGTTGACAGTTAATCATGACTGTTGTTGCCGCTGAACGTTACAGCAATCAACAGCACTGTGTGAGATTATTGTCTTGAATATAACTGTTGAGATGGAAAGATACTTTGATATTTGTCACAAGATGTTTATTTCTTTCATTGATCAGTTCTTGATGAGGTCCTGATGCCTTTTCGTCTGTTACATGTAAATGTAAATGCTCCATATTTGTATAGTGCCTTTCTAGTCTTTTCGACCACTCAAAGCGCTTTTACACTACATCTGCATTCACCAGTCATATACACAGTTTAAACTCTAAGTAACATTACTAGTCTTGGCTACTGGACATTTGACAGGTGATATAACAGGACAACACAAAAACATTTAAAGACTGTCATCTATATTTTGTATCTTGTTCCATGTTCTCCCATATGTGACATAATAGTAGTGTCAACATAAATGAGCCTTCTTTTAGAGGACCATCTAAAAAAACTAGGACATCGCAGGGATGTTCATTGTGAGCACTAGAGCCAGACTAAGAGATTAAAGGTTTGAGAAACCTTTACTGGTGTTTTACGTTAGTTAGGTGATTAGAGAGCTCTTCTCCAGTTGACATTTTTGTATTATAAATTATTAATTTGAGAGTTTCCATGAGCTGTAAACTGTAATCATCAAGATGTGAACAAAAAAAGGGCTTGAAATACTTCACTTTGTGTAATGAATCTAGAATATTATATTACTGAAAGTTTTAGGAGACCCCTCCGAATCATTGAATTCAGGTGTTCCAATCACTTCCACAGCCACCGGTGTATAAAATCAAGCACCTAGGCATGCAGACTGCTTCTACAAACATTTCTGAAAGAATGGGTCGCTCTCAACTGTGATAGGTTGCCACCTGTGCAATAAGTCCATTCGTTAAATTTCCTCACTACTAAATATTCCACAGTCAACTGTTAGTGGTATTGTAACAAAGTGGAAGTAACAGGTAAAAAAGAAACTCAGACACAAAGTGGTAGGCCACATAAAATCACAGAGCGGGGTCAGTATGCTGAGGTGCACAGTGCGCAGAAGTTGCCAGATTTCTGCAGAGTCAATAGCTACAGACGTCCAAATGTCATGTGGCCTTCAGATTAGCTCAAGAACAGCACATAGAGCTTCATGGAATTGCAGAGCAGCTGCATCCAAACCTTACATCACCAAGTGCAATGCAAAGCGTTGGATGCAGTGGTGTAAAGCACGCCGCCACTGGACACTAGAGCAGGGGAGATGTGTTCTCTGGAGTGACTAATCACGCTTTTCTGTCTGGCAATTTGATGGATGAGTCTGGGTTTGGTGGTTGCCAGGTAAATGGTACTTTCCTGACTGCATTGTGCCAAGTGTAAAGTTTGGTGGAGGGGGGCATTTATAATCCTCTCGGAATGTCTTTTAATAGCCATTTATCAAACAACTGTTGAGCACCTGTTGCTGTTGACTTACAGCTGTCACCTCTCTGTCATCCACAGCCACTGTATGTTACACATGCAGCTGGCGCTGTAGATTAATAAACCAGCTGCTGCGCTGGTTTGACTCATAACAGTCTATGGTTTGACTGCGCCTGAACGCTCCTCTACGAAGCTAGTGCTAATGGTGGAGATGACTTCCTGTGGTCTACTCTTTGGCGTACCGGCACCAGTACTCTTCTCTGCCCTCTCCATATCTGGTTTTCTGAGCACTACGTGATACTCATCTGTTCCTGTTCTCACCTGCCTGCTAATCTCCGCAGGGAAATTGGGAGCCTTACATGCAGTCGTGTGGATAGTCACTTTTTGTTTTATTATTGACAAGTAGTACTTTGCATAAACAAATCAGAGACTAATAACCATGTAGAGCATTTTTCTTGCACAATAATTTAATAACTAAAAACAACCCACAATATGAAACTGCTGTTTTGTCCAACTGGAATGAAAGAGGTGGTATTCTGCTTTTTAGCTTTTCCCCTCTCCTTTATTGAGTTATATCTCTTTTTTGTGCATGTACCAGGTTTGCAAAGTGAAAAAGCCCAAAGTTCAGCCCAAAGGGAGTTCCCATCTCCCACAGAAAAATCTGAACTGAACTGCCTGAAAACAGCTCATTTGTAGTCCAGCTGTTTCCCTTTCATCTCTGTGACGACGCAGTAAAATGAGCGTCATAATGCTCGCCAAACAGCTAGTCCAACACTCCCCCACAAACACCAGTGGAAAAACACTCATCTGCTGCAGCACACAGTG